CATGGCTCTCCCTTTGTCTACCCAGCCAGTCATGTCATCGTAGAAAGCTATCAGATTGGTCAGGCATGATTTCCCCTTGGTGAATCCATGCTGACTACTCCTGATAACCTTCTTTTCTTCCACTTGCTTGATGATGGCCTCCAGGATAAGCTGCTCCATCACCTTTCCCGGGATGGAGGTGAGGCTGACCGGCCTGTAGTTCCCTGGGTCCTCCTTCTTGCCCTTTTTGAAGATTGGAGTGACATTGGCCTTTCTCCAGTCCTCGGGCACCTCTCCTGTCCTCCAGGACCTCTCAAAGATGATGGAGAGTGGCTCAGCAATGACATCCGCCAGCTTCCTCAGCACTCGTGGGTGCATTCCATCGGGGCCCATGGATTTGTGGACATCCAGATCACTTAAGCGATCCCTCACACAGTCCTCCTCGACCAAGGGAAAATCGTCCTCTTTGTAGGCTTCTTCTCTTACCTCCGGGGCCTGGGATTCCTGAGGGCCAGTCTTAGCACTGAAGACTGAAGCAAAGAAGGCATTCAGTAGCTCTGCCTTCTCTGTATCCTCTGTCACCAGGACACCCGCCTCATTCAGCAGCGGCCCCACGTTGTCCCTGGCCTTCCTTTTGCTGCTGATGTAGTTGAAGAAGCCCTTCTTGTTGTCCTTTTCAGATGTCGATAATATCACAACTAATTAAGATACTGCATCATCTTCAGATGGATTTTACTCCTTCAACTGCACTGGCATTGTGATTAGGTCTTGCAGTTTTTCAATAGGTAACAGCTGTAGTAGTGTAATACTTCTACCTGTATACAACTATATAAAGATGACAAACCAAACATGTTACATTGTTATATACATTTGTATATATTACATACAAGTTAATTATTATATTGCCTTATAATGGAAATATCTGCCTCTTACCTCAAGCCATGAGAGTTTTCCATGACGACACAAATTAACACCTTCTCCTGCTATACTGAGAACACCTTGCTGTTTTAGGTGCAGCACCTAATGAAAAACATAGGGATAAAACAAATAGCACCAGAGAATGATAGGTAGAGAAACAAATAGTAAACTGGGATTTTTCCAGTCATGATCCATATTTAAAAAGGTAAACACAGATCAAAACCACAATGAATCTCGGATATATAGTGATCCAAGAGAAACAGACACAGTATCAGTCCAGCTACAGATAGGCAGCTGGAAATTCTACAATCAGAAACTTAATGATTGATTTAGCAGAGACAATGCATAACTGAAGAGTATAGACTCCCCTGATCTCCCAAGGAATTCTCCTAAGTAGGTTTTAGGAACTTCCTTAAGATCACATAAAGAAAGTGTTCCTTTCAGATAAAAAGGAGGACTCATTTTCTAAGGTGTAAAAGAAAAACCTGTTACTCACAGACTTGAAAAGTTTTCAGACAAGTAAGATAAAGCAACCTGTAGCACACATGTAAGACAGGACTAAAAGGCATAAACAGAAATCAAAAAGTCAGCTTCTTATTCAAGCAACAGTTGAGATTCCTCTGTAAGCAGGAAAATGTCTTCGTGTGGGGAAGAGCTTTTTCCTCTGTACATGCAATAGATTTACCATAGTAAGAGCCCAAATCGCAACCAATACTACTGCAAGACAAAATAGCATGGATGACCTGTAGCATTGCTGGTCTAATTCAGGATCTAAAAATGCTATTAAATTTAGTAATACATCTATCTTTGGCTCCGAGTTCTGAAACAAACCCTTTCCACCAAGTCTGCTTATGTTATTATACATGTTCTGAGCGAAAAAGGTCCAGGTATGTCTGGAGTTCCAAACAACTACAAAACTAACACAATCAATTCCCTTTCCAAATGCCAACAAATCCTCACATTGTTCCCTTCCTAAACAAAATAATTCTTCAGTAAATAATAAATACTGACCCTTCACCTCAGTTACTGGCGACGCAGAATCTGAAAACAGCAACCAACACACACTAATGCAGATAGATTCACATCCACCCACTGCACACTCACACGCACTGCACTCTTCCCCTGCATGTACGTATACTTTAAATATGCGTTGATGCCACCAGAGACACCATTTCTACTTGACTTAAAGCCAGTTATTACCTGTTATTCAAATTTCACTGCAAAAGTGCTTCCCAGCACAAGAAAGCACAAGAAGCAGGGCTCACAACCCTGCCACCTAATGGATCTACCGACAATTAGCACAGAACAGGCTTCGAAGTCACACGTGCTGCATAAGGGCTTTCATCAGTACTTACTGCTGGGCCATACGTCTGCTGGAAACGATCAACAACTGTGTACTCCAGATTCTCTTCTTCCTTTGTCTCTAAAAGGAAGTAAAAAAAAAAATCATTAGACCCTTCCTCTACTTGAATAAGGTTTGCACAAGGTATGTATTTTAGTTGTATAATCACTCTGTGTTTCTGGTTTACCTGTTCAGTTCTTCCCTCTATATCTCCTGAACACACCCAAACATACTACTGAACTGTCTGATTCAGATGTGTACCATCCAGGGCATGAGCCAAAATTCTGGTTTTTGACAGAAAACCTATTGGTTTAAAAGTGAGTGGCAGCATTACTTTGTTTTTATGATGCCAAAAGGAAACAAAATGGTTTCAGTTTAAAAAAAAAAAAAAAAACCCACACCAATTAAAAAAAAACTCACCCTAATTCCCAGCCTTGTCCAGGGAAGCAAAAAGATTGTAGCAAAAACAAAATAGACAGCAACGCCACAGACCATGGACGGCTCAGAGATCAAGCGGGCAAAGAGAATTTAAGCCAGATTTTAATATTTTTTTAACACCTGCTTAATAATGTCTGATGAACAGGTAAAAAATGGTTCTCAAAGATTCTCCCTTCTGTTTAGCTAAGATGCAATTAATAATATGCATCCATGACAACAGAAGGACAATCTTCTAAACTCTAAAATAACAGTCAGTTGAAAGATCATGAGAACAAATTTTTTAAAGACTCTCCCAGATCACAACCACCCTTGCTCATTTTCTCCCCCCACTACCCAGGTAAATGCAGCTAACCTTCCTTTAGCCTATACAGTGTCACACTCTTGTCACAGCTCCACGAGAACAGAACAAGCTGATCACATTTTGGACCTGTACCTGTATATGTGTACACCACAGGAACCATACAACCAAACCAATGCAAGCACGTGACAGCCAGCACAGAACCAAAGAGCAATAGTCTTACTGAGCTTTGAGTTATCTATCACGCCACATACATTTCAGGAACAAATATAAGATTAAAACAATCACCAGAGAGGAATGCTCACTGGTTGAAGCACTTTAATTTGTCCAAAAGATCAGTTGTGCTGCTCAGCCACTTCTACAGTTGGCAAGAGCTACAGGATAAACATTCTGGAAAGCAGATGAGTTTCCTTCAAATGTTGTGAATGTATCTGCAGGCAAAGAGCATGTCTGCAGATAGCAAGCTCTGTACCGATCTTCCTGCAATCATTGTTCTTTCAGGATACGCCCTGTCCCTATACAGGCAAACCAAGGGATCACAGCCTCTGGGAAAGATGTTGTCTGACACAGACAAACTAACTACATTGCTTGATTAATAGCTACATTACCTGACAGGGAATATTTTAAGCTATTTGAGGCTCTGAGCTGGCTGTCCAGAGAAACGCAAGGAGAAGTCCATGGGCCACAATCTGCTGGTCTTGTCTCTGCTCGTTTGTTCCCTTCAACAGCTGAAGTGCACCTGCACAAGCAAGGCAACCATACACAGCACAGAAGTCAAAACATCACACATTCCACCAGCATGGACATTTTAATAAAGAAAATTATTTCATCCAATGCCATCTACCGGCATCCAGACAACAAACTACTGTATGTGAAGCAACTTCCCAATCCAATGTGCACGGTTCTTACAGAAGATCTTGAAGCCACCCCAATAATAAGCTTATTTTGCACAAAAGGGCCTTTATTTCAGATAAAATTTCATATTCTGAAAGTAAAAGGTGAAAGCAGAACCTGAACAGACGTTCACTGCAAAGGTTTCAAAGGAAGAGAGTTCAAAGAATGAAGTACTTGACCTGAGCCCAAGAACCACGCAATTTAAGTATCTGCAAGTCTTTACACTGAATCAATAACATTTGATCCATTAGTTACTTACTGTAATTGGAGGGTGATTTTACAAGTTCACCAATACGTAATACAGTCATATCCACTGAAACTTTACTGTAACCAAATGGAAGTTATTAAATCATATAAAACAGTAGCATGTCAGTACCAAACAAAAACATGTTAGTAAACATTCACCTGAAAGATGTCACATATAAGATGCTTAATTTCTATGATGGGTTAGTCTGAGGTCAAGAACACTTCACTGGTAAATATGACTTACTAGTTTAAATTTCCTTGTATTGATATAAAACATCCCATTATGATTATAGAGCTCAAATCATGTACATCTCTATCTCAATACAATAAAACACAAAAACCCATTCTGATTAGCCTTTAGATGTAGCTGAAGAACCTTGTATCTAAAATTGTGTATTTAAAAGGATTAATACTAGAATCTGCTACTGAGGTGAGCATACTCACCTATGTGTGAACACATGCTTACTTAACAGGGAGAAAGAAGACAAGACAGCCACGAGCAAGAAGACTGCTGCTAATCACAGTTCTAGGTGCTTTTTAACTATATTTTAAGGATTATTCAGTAGACCCCACTTCATTCCTACTTCTCTTGAGAGTTAGAATAAACTGTTCAAATGTGGTCTTGTGAGAAGACTCAAAGCAAAGCCATCTAGGAGCATGGGTCTGAAACCTATTTTTATCAGCTTCCCAAGATTCCGAAAGTCGTATTTATATACGTTTTGAGAACATCTGTATAAACCTAACCTTCCCTGTGCGATTGTCCTGGAACTATTTCAACACAGAAGAAATGTTCGTGGAAAATCCTGCCTGAAACCACAAGCTGACAAGGAAACAAAATAAGTGCATTCTTCTACCTAAGAACACTAGTGGGAAGAAGAAAAAAAAAAAACAACACAAAAAATAAAGAGTGAGAGAGAAAAAGAAAAAACCTTTCATACAGTGGAGGTCTTCCACTCACTACCTTGTTCACCTCAATACAAACATGGCGCAGCTGAGTCTGAACATCAGCATTATACTAAATGCAAGTGGTGACTTCCCTAGCAAGCACACCCCACCACGCCTTCTCCTACCATGAGTGGAAGGAAACATTTTAACGTACTCAGAGAGCATTGCTGCTCCCTTCCCTGAATCTGGTTCATCCAGCAATTCCACTGCAATAGAAACAAACAATTTATACTCTAGTGATGACAAGCAACTTTTTGACATTTGTTATCTCCCAAAAAAGCGGAGCCATAACCCATACTAACCCACCATAGGACACAGCCATATGTGCAAAAAAAGTAAATTTACTCTCAAGTATAGTTTAAATAATTTTAAATTCACTCTGATATACAAATCTATATAAAATAACTTACATCCGTATCCTAGATAAGGTATATTTCAGAACTCCAGTATTTAAACAAAACTAATAGCTTAGCATCACACCAAAATCAAAGTCAGTATCAACCTACAACTAATTATTTTACAGACTATTACATATACAATAAAAGCAGGTACAAGCAAAAAGGCAGAACAGAGTCAGCTAATCACTTGATAAACCAAATAGCTGCCTTCTAGCTATTTCCCCCTCAGCACTTAGCTCCTTGTCCCCAAAGCAAAGCAGACGTCAATATAAATGCACAGGATCTTCATATACTAGAAATGTTTTTCTTAAATAATCCCACATTCTTATCAGTAGCAAATCATGGAAAGGGGCTCAGATAAACAGCTCATTTAATAGAGATGCATTTGCCTAGGCAAGTAAAAGCAAAACCCAAGTTAACTAGAACTTTAGGCAATTTAACTTCTCAGAAGAGTCCATTAGTGAAAGTCTTGCATATATAAGAACATACACAATCAATGCAGCTTGCCTTCAGGACATAAACAGGGGACACGCTTCTCTCAACCAATTACCTTCAGAGTGGCTACTGAAGTCTTAGACTTTATTATTTAACTAATAAGCTTTAATGCAGTTCAGTCACAAGACCTTCACAAAGTGGGGAATGATGATTATCATTTCACTGATAAATAATTAGGGAACAAAAGTTGTGCAATTTATACAACGTTCTAATTCCTACTCAGAAGAAAGACAATTCGGTGACCAAAAAACAGAAAGTGCTGAAATAAGAGTGGGCATCACCCCTGTGTCCAAAAACGCAGTAAGAAAAGCCTCACCATTGACTATTTCATGGCCAAAAAACATCTTTACTCCTAGAGTGCTCCTGCCAGTTTCCAAGTTCGTCACTGAAATGAGGGAAGGGAGAAAAATACAGGCATATGATCAGTTCCAGGAAATTTTACCTCAGCCTGGGGTGAAAGCTGATCATGTGCAGCACGAAGCAAGACCCGGGTAGTACTATTAACGAGGAAAGAAAAAAAAAAATAAAATCAACAAATGGGTTGTTTTAAGCGACAGCTCTTGAAACCTACCGAGGCGGGTGTCCACGGGAGCGCGACCCCCTCCGCTCCGCAGCCATCTCCAGCTATGAGGGGGGTGTTTCCGCCACCCCCGCGCCCATGCCGCCTGCGAGGCGGCGCCCTCCCCCCCTCTCCCCC